ATTGAAACGCCTGAATTGCTCATATCCTCATATTTATGCCAATTGCGAATTTCAGATCGAATGGGATTTCGAATGGATGCAAGAGCAAATCGCCGTCAGTAGTCCCACAATACCGTTGTCTTCTCGTGAATTTCTCACCACATTATGCACATCGTGTTATTTCTTATTGAACGTATGGGCTAGAGGTACACCGACAGTAACTGCCACAAATGGCTCTATTGTTCTGGAAAAGTCAGTGTTTCTTCTTATTTCATTTCATCGCCATTTCAATGCCCATTGCTTTTTCTGCATTGATTTGAAGTGCTCTTAGTGAGATGATATTATTCAACAGAATCTTCCACATGTTTCTGGAAATATTCATTCATGCGAAGAACAAAATTACTACCTTTAACGAACAATTAAAGTGAACTTTTATCGCACTTTTCGATCAGTTTATCTGACTCTATCACGTATTATAAACATTCGTTCGCATGCGTTGTTTCGTATTAAAAGTGGCATATCAGAGATCACTATTTAATCTAAAATTGAATCAGTCGCAAACGTGATGTTGTGCATCATAAAGCCATGAATTCTCCGAAAATAGTGCAACGAGTCAAATCACACTTCAAATCAACTTAAGCAAATACCAAACAATTAAGGAGAGATCAACTGAATTTGCGTGTGGTGAATCCGGATCGAAATGTCACGTCGGTGTTTGTTTCGATGATTCTTACAATAACGGCTGAGTTACGACCCATTTTCGATTCGGGTATTCTGCGAACTCAAGTCCAACTGCTCGATACGAATGTAATTATGGAAGAGGGTGCTTTTCCACCGTCGTGGTCGTTCTTTGTGCAAGACCTTGTCAGAGGTATCGATCTCATACTGATCTTACTACTCTTATTGTGTTTTGCAGTTGACATTACTCGTCATTACGTTATCACCGATATACTGCAAAATTCAATAATGATTTGACATATTAATGTTCCAATCAATTTCAGGAATGATATTGGACATGATGTGGCCTGAGCTGAAGAAGCAAATCGAAGAGTTGACATACGGCGAAGGTATTCGACTAGCCGAATCGTGCGGTATGAATCCGAAAACAATAAAAATTCTCATAGGCGAAGGTCGTGTCGGAGCGTCAGCTCTTCTATCGCTGCAGAACCTTCAACCGCAACAGTGTGCGAAAGATATTAAAAGTGCACTCCCGAATGCATCTAAATTATTCCCGAAAAGAAGACGTAAACGAAATTCGATGAAACGCTAAGCCATGCAGCTTATTGTTAACTAAAGTGTTATGTATAGAAAATATCAATTGAATATTCAATTATCAGAGTCAATTTATTAATTGCGAAATGTTGACCGATGCAATCAACTTGATTAATTCAGTACACGCAAAAAACATTCCTTCGCATTTATTCGGGCAAAAGATTTTCTCTTACTTATCTCTCTTTAGTGCATCTATAAATACTAGTGATCTCCTTAATGAAACGCTGTCATAAGCATCCACCTAATGTGTTAGTGACGTTGTTTCCTTTCTGTATTCGTTCAATCGCAAAATAATAAAAAAAATTGTGTTGCACTTAAGGCATTGACGTTGAATATTAATATGAATATGAATATTAATATGAAGTGCATTTAACAAAAATTTCAAAACAGGAAGTCACTTTCGATTGTTTCGTGGAATAGAAGCTATTCAAGAGTATTACGTAGTCCATGACACCACGTTTTATTGTTCCGCAACATTCATACTGCTTTCTGATCAGTTCACATAGCACAACGTCTCCTATTTCCGTGAACAATATTTTCACATTCCAT